ATTTGAATCTTGAAATGTAGGGTTGACTGTAATTACCACTTTAATTTTTTATTTATTTTTTTAAGGTCTGACTCGTCACGGGCCAAAAATAACTTGTGACACTAGTTGGCCTGAGCTCGGGCCAATGTCAAAAAATGGGGCTCGGCTCGGTGGCGAGCGGGCCTGCTCGGGCTTTTCCCAGGCCAAGCCACGGGCCCTCCGAGTGAAATTGACACCCTTAGATTTTGTAGTATTTTTTACATATTGAAAAACGAAAAGTAAGGTATTATTGAATTGTAATATTGTTAAAATCGTCAAAAAAATGATTTTCACTTGATGTGATATTTAATATATTATAGATTTATGAATGAATAAACAAAAACTAAAAGATTGTTCATAAATTTCTTGTTCTCGTGCTTGTGTAATTGTAGGAGCATGCTTGATTTGGAGTAGACCCAAAACGAATGGGCTTGAGGTGGATTTCTGGCTTGATTTCTGGTTTGCAGACGGTGGAATGCGTTAGTGTCATTAGCTATAATTTTGGCAAAGTGGTTGAAATACCCTACATCTCTTGGTTTTAGATCTTGAAGTTCCATGTTCGAATTGATATTGGATCATTTCATGTAGTGGCGGATAACGTAAGAGCATGCAAATCGATCAAAGACAGATCATATCGATAATCAAGAAGCACAAGGCTGGACAATGTGCTTGAATGAAGGATTAAGAGATTAGTTTCACACCCAAAACTGGATGATCATGCAGCTGAAATCATTGACAGAATTCCAAATTTTAGTTGTTTTACATATGTTTATTTTGTTTCCTTATTTTGTCAAATCAAATTTTAGTTGTTTTACATGTGTGCTTGAATAAAAATAGTTAGCTTGGTCTATTCCAAATTTATAGATCATTCTCTCGGCCTTTGAATTAGGAGTTGTTTTAGCTGTTTGGTATTAAAAATTTCAATCTTCCTACTAGTTAGTTATTAAATTATTTGGTTTAAAGCATTCGGGTTAGCCTCATTCATAGTAATAAAATTAGTTATGGCGTTCGATAAGGCTTGTTGGGCTCTCAACAGAGTTTCTCAACGTGTTCTTTTTTTCTTATCGTCATAGTTATTTCACAAAGATTTGCTGAGTAAGGAAAAATGCGGCAATCGCTGCTTCTTGAGCCCCCCGACTATTCTACCATAGAGGCCAACCCTCCTGGAGAACACAGCTTAATAAAGGATTATAGTTTAAGTCTGCTCTCCATTCCATTCCAATGCAACTCACAAGGTAACTATAATACTTGAAATGGAAGTTTACCAAGGATACAAGCTGCCCTGTTATGCAGCAAATTAACCTTCCCCAGTTGAAATGCAAAATGAACCTTTGGTATGTTCTAGAAATCTTTTCCATTGCAAGTTAATACTTTCTTTGAAAATGGTACTCAAATCTTTCTTTTGAGAATTCTTAAGTAAGGTTAGTCTAAAATAACGGGTTAGAGAATCGAAGGAGCTACATGTCAAAAGAGGAGGGGGGGGGGGGGGGGGGAATT